ACCGTGAAGGAACACTGCCTACTGCCCTCCTCTCCAGGCTCAAGATCAGCTGCCTTTCTTGTACTGCCCAGGACCACCTACCCAAGGGTGGCACAGGCCAACAATGGCCTGGGTCATCCCATATCAATCACTAATCAATAAAACACCCCCCCAGACTTGCCTTCATGCCAATCGGATGGAGGTCTTTCCTGAACTGAGGTTCCTTCTTCCCAGATGACCCTAGCCTATGGAGAGTTGACAGAAACAACAACAAAAAGCCAAGTAGCATTAATAACAGAAATAGAATGGAATGATAGAAATAGACGTGATAATAACTGTGAAGAGGAAAAGCATCAAAAGTGCTTATATTTGAAATTCCAGTACCACATAAAATAAAATTCTATTTCACAGCTGCAAAGAATTATGTGGTGGCATCGCTTCCTGTCTTGGATGGGAAGCAAGATACATATCTGTTAGGTGAATAAACTCTGTGATATAAGTTACATTATGTTAAAAAAAAGGATAACAATTCAGAAAATACTAGTGAACATTACTGACAATATTTTATGGAGGAAAGGGTAATATTGAAAATAGGAGTTACTTTCACTAACGCATTTTTTTCAATTTTGTGTATATGTGAGGGGGTGCACATGGGTGCAGGTGCCCGAGGGGGTCAAAAGCAGATCCTTGGAGCGTGAGTTATATAAGCAGTTGTGAGCTGCGCAATAGACATGTGCAGTGCACTAAGACTCAAACTTCGGCTGGGCATGGTTGTGCACACCTTTAATCCCAGCAAGGAGGCAGAAGAAGGCAAATCTCAAATTCAAGGCCAGCGTAGTCTGCAGAGTGATTTCTAGGACAGCCAGAGTTATGTAAAGAAAACACTGTCTGGGGGTGGGGCACGACAGGGGGGGGGGGGGCACGGACACCCAAATGTAACAAAAAGTAACAAAAGAAAAAGGAATCACACTGGTCCTTGGCAAGGGCAGAACACACCCTTAGCTTCTTGACCATCTTATCTCTCCAGCCCTAATTTTGGTTTTATTTTAGAAAGTCTTATCTGTACCAGACTCACCTTGAACACACACTCACCACTCAGGCAGGCAAAAATGACCTTAAACTCCTGACTTTCCTGCCCAGACCTTGGAAATGCTGGGATTAGGGGCCTGTGTGACTCTCCCAGCTCACACAGTTCTGAGAACTGAACCCAGGCCTTCATTCATGCTTAGCAAGCATGCTTCCAATTGAACTGTATCCCTAGGCCTTCAGTTAATTTGTTTCTTCAGTGTTAGGATTGTCAACTCTGAATCTACAATGTTTCATAGCAGAGAAAGATTAACATAGTTTATTAAGCTCTGTAAATTGAGTTTCTAAATGTTTTTATTCCTACCATGACTCAAAACTTTTATTCAGCCAGTGTTTTTTTTTTAAATGTCCAACCTTAAAGCCTAAAGCAGGGTGGGTTCATTTTTGTTTTGTTTAGGTTTTGTTTATTTTGTTTTTGTAGCTTAGACTTGCTGTGCTAGAATAATCTTTGGGCTATTTAATAATTCCCCTTGAGTACACTCATTGGTATTGCGAACACAGACTCGGTTTCCTGTAGTTAGCACTCCAACTTTCTTCTTCCTTGACTTCAGAATCCTGAAGGGAAAGAAAACAAAGAAAATCCCTCTTACAAGCTGGGATGGTGGGAAAATGCAAATCTGCACCTCTAAATTGATGCCTCACTCAGAAATCTTTTAACAACATTAAAGATAATTTTTCTGCTCATGATGTTAATATCCATATTTTGGTGAGGACCAAAACAAATCTGTCCTCCAGTCTCCATTTACAGCTAATGTAAAATGGGTCAAACACTAGACTGGAAGAGGGAGAAGGAAGAGAGGGAAATAGAGTTGGAGAGGGAGAGAGAGAAGGGAAAGGAGTGGAAGACAGAGAGGGGAAAATAAGGAGGAGAGGGAGAGATGGAATGCGGAGGGGGAGGAAGAGAAAGAAGGAGAAGGGGAGAGTAAGAGGTAGCAGAAGGTGGGAGGGACTGGAAGGGGAAGAAGGGAAAGGGAAGAGGGAGGGGGAAAGGAAGAGAGAGAAGCAGAAATTTTTATACTGAGAATGCCTTTGACTTTCTAAACACACTAAACATCTCCCATCTACAGAATAAGCATTTTCACAATGCATTCAAAGTGATTCACACACTTCTTCACCTTGTGAAGCACAGGGTGTCTTATTGTATTAATCTTATTGTATTATAATTATACAATAACAATATAATTATTGTATAATTATGAGTGTTCTTGACATACACAAACTCTCTCCAAAACACCAGATGCTTGGGATTTTGTAAAAAGTGACACCAGGTCTTTTTCACACCCCAGCAGGGGCTGTAATTAACACTTTGTTTCCACAGCAGAACATTGTCACACAAATGAGGAGTCCATAAGCCACCTCACATCTGATCAAATGTGTTGACAAGAAGTCCAAGTCACATTAGGCTTTGCCATTGAATGGAATTTTAAAAAACTAATGAAATAACAACTTTCAAAATACATATAAAGGAGCTGGAGAGGTTTCAGATCCTAGCATCCACAAAACTGCTCCCAAGTGCCTGTAACTCAACTTCCAGGTCTCATGCCCTCTTCTGGTTTCACTGGGAACTGCACACATGTGGTAGACTTACACAGTTGCAGGTTACTGAATCCACCATCTAGGTTTTGCAGGCCCTAGATGGCTGCCATTTTGTACCCTTAAAATGTGTGCACTGCAGAGTCCTTCTGCCTCCCTGTTAATCGTTGATCAGGCATCCTTCCATCTCTTTTGTCAGGGCATTTTCTCCTGTCTACCGCATCCTAACAATTCACTGATTTCACTCTGATATAATACACCAAGAACCCCCGCAGTGATAGTACTTGGCTGTCCCAGATCTCCTCACATTTGTGATAACACCTACTTGAATGTCTTGAGAGCCTCTCTGTTTGTTTGCCATGTTTCTCACCTGAATTCCCAATTTTTGAGATCGTTATCTTCGAAAAGACTAAGTCCAACTTCCCACTGTCTTTTATGGCATTTTATGAAGCTGTGTTATTTTAATATATGCAGAGGTGACATTTCTGTCATATAAAATCAAGTTAAAGTCTAAAGTTTATTTGCTGTTATACAAAAACAATAGACAATGACAATAAAAAGGCATATGTAGAAATACCAAATGAGGCTGATAGTTGCACACAGTCTCAGTCAGCTGCCAGTATTTTTCTTCTCTGCTGGACTGGCAAATTCTCCTGGGCTTTGCCCCAAAACCATGCGTTTATCCTCACTTATTAAAATCTCAGCATGAGCCTTCTTACAGCTCCAACATGTCAGTCCTTCAATCTTGCTGCCACAGGTCACACTTAACCCCACTATACACGGGAGCTATGGGGAGTTGTGGAGGGCTATGCCTGGAAGTCAACACAGGGGGTGTGCCTGGCCCCAGAGAGAAAGAGGCATAGCTGGTAAAGCGTCAGCACTAAGTGATAATTCAGGAAAGACAACCGAAGCCCTGCTCCAGAACACACAACAGTGGGTGCCCAGGCCTCCATGGAGTGACTCAAGAGTTTTCTTCTGCAGCTTAAAGGCTCTGACTCACCCATTCCACAAAGGTCCAGGTACCTGCCAAGTGCGAGAAATGACCCTGGGGGCATGAAAAGGAGAACAAGATCATCCTCACCCACCCTCAAGGCTTGAGTTTAGCAGCTAGACATAAATAATCACAAACGTCCATACACAATGTTGTACCGGCACACAGTCCTACCCAATTCCACTGTGCATAATTGAGTGTGACCTCCCAAGACTCTCACTATGTTGTGTGAATGCTTTCCAACCTCTGCGCTGCCCCTCGAGGGTCCCAGCACTGTTCACCACCACACCAGACCTGCGGCTGTTCCCTTGTCTTAAAATACCCTTCCTTTAGAAACTCACACAGCTAGTAACTCACTTCATTAAGGTCAGAGCTGCTTAATGGCAATCCCGCAAAGGTACTAAGAGATCAAGAGTTAAGAATTCAAAACATTTTTTTATATTTAAAACATTTTGTACATTTATTTATTGTGTGTCTCTGTATGTTTGTGCCTATGCCTGTATCTGTGTGTCTATGCATGTGAGTGTGTGTGTGTGTGTGTGTGTTCTGTTCTCACCCTGACCCCATGAACAAGGATTATTAATGTCCCAATTTGGGGGTTTTGTTTTAAACAGCCCCAAATGAATTCCCTATGTCACCAAGGATGACTTTGAACTTCTGATCTCCCTGCCTCCACCACTCAAGTGCTGTGATCAGCAGGCAAGCTCTACCACGGCTGGCTTATGTAGCACAGGAGAGCGAACCATGGGTTTCATCCTCACTAGCCAAGCCTTCTTCCAGCTGAGCTTTGTGTCCAGCCCTTATGATCCCAACTGTCACAGGGGTGAAATGAGGCACAGAACCGGCGCTCTCCATCAGTGAGAGGGTCTAGAAACATGGTTACCCAACTCTAAAGCTCAGGACCCCACCGTGGAAAGACTGTGCTCTGTGAGGTAACTAACGTGACAGCGTGTCGACGGGAAGACCACGCACTAGCAGGTCCTCTGGAGGTAGCGAGAACCAGTGGAGACAGCTGCAGAGAACACTCAAGCTAGAAAAAGGACAGACTAGTAACTAAGCCACCAGGAGTGGCAGAAGCTGTGTTGTGTTTTCAGTGAGCAAGTGTGAAGCCAGAGGAATGAATAGATTCTATTTACATCACACTCCAAACGTGTTGAGGAAAAACCTAAACCGAGGGGGCTGGATGGAGGAGACGCGCAACCTCCTCCAGCATCCAGCCCTGCTATTCCACAACTCTAAAATGCTTCGTGGAGTCGGGGAGATTCACTTGGAAAACAAAATTCCATAAACTTTTTGAAAGACATTTAAATAGAAACCCGAGGGGCGACCCGCTCTAATTTTCTTATGACGCTCAAGCCAGCTTTTAGTGGTTCTCATTCCAGCATGGGACATTTATGTTTGTTTGCTTGTTTGACTAGGACTGGGGCTTGAACCCAGGCCTTCTTACACGCTAGGCAAGTGCTCTACCACTGAGCCATATTCCCAGCTTTCTGTGGCATTTTTAATTCCCAGCAGGAGCAAGAGGTGTTTGTTGTCTTGGTGTTTGGCCTAATAGCATCCTTCCGCTTTGCAGGATTTGGGGAGAAGAGTGAGGACACCCGCAGTCATATTCTTCTCTGTGACCCTTTCTCCCTTCTATCCTGCTCCTCCTAAAGAGGGGGAAAGATTCAATGCAAATAACAGTAGAAAAAACCACAATGATGCACTAAGGTTAGACCTACCTCAGTTAAGATAGTAACTGGTACTCTTTCCTGCCAGCTTCTCGACTTCAAGTCCCCAAATGCCTCAGCTCTTGTGCTGGCCTGAAGTCTTCTTCGGTCCTCCCTGTGAGTATCTGTCATGGAAGCAGCACAGTGTTGGGTGGAAGAGCAAGACCTCCTTACCCCAGCCACGGCACAGCCCGGTCGCAGCATCCGTCCTCCAGTTGCATAAATTCTTTTTCCTCTCATTCCTCTGCCTGCTTCTAACTCCATCTGCTCTTTCCCTGATCCACACAACATCAGTTTTCAATTTACCCCTCAGGATAATCATAAAAACGATGAGATCAGCAACAAAAGATAAAGATACCGGGGCAGTGAGATGGTTCAGTGGATAAAAGGGCTTGCCTGATGACCTGAGTTCCGTTCACTGGAACCCAAGAAAAAAGGTGGAAGGAGAAAAGCAATTCCCCAAGGTTTCATCTGACCTCTTCAGGCTCTGTAGCACACCATACATACATACATGCATACACACATACATGCATACACACATACGTGCACGCATGCACACATACATACACATACACGCATGCGTGCACACATCCATTCATACATTCACACTCACACTATATACACAATAATAAATTTTAAATAAATATATGGAACTCATCTTTTCAGACTTTAGGGTGCATTTTTCATATTTCATCAAAATTGTTACATAGCCAGTTTTGGAAATTGACAATGCTTCAAGCAAAATCAAGGTATCCTTGGGAGATGTGTCTCAGGAGGAATTAGGAAGCTCTGGACTTAGCAGGTCTTTGCTGCGTATTCATTTCTATTCTGCACAGCGCTCAGTGCAAAGATGAATAGCCTTATCTCCCAGACAAATGCAAATAATCTTCATAGAAAGATCTTTGTTTTCTTCTCTAAACTACGGTATCTTTCTTGCTCACAATTCCCTGCAGCGGGGTGATAATTAAAACGCTTAAGGTTCAAAGGCATTCTTTCCAAAATTCCCGATGAGCTGGCTTCAGACAGGAATGAGGATAAACACTGGAATGGCAATGGTATCATAAATTAGGTTATTATGCTAAGAAGCAGTGGAAAATAAGATGTGTCTGCCAACAGTCAACAACTGTCTCCATTTGCGTTCTTGCTCCCAGTCATTTCTGGGTCCGCATTCCAGCATTCATAGCTGCAGGTATTCGGGCAGGTATATGTACCAGGCTGGGGTAAACTGAGCACACAGAACCTCTACATTCTATTTTCTATATGAGAATAGTATTCATTATGAAGAGACCGGATGATAGTCTGCCGGCAGGTAACCCCACTCATAATAAAAGTTCAATATCTCTATCTCTTATTCCCACAGAGACTGGTATCCGTCTCTCTTCAGGATTTGCCTGTGAAACTATGAACATTATATGCTCCACAATGACGTGGGCAATCTAAGACTCCTCTCTGTTTAGCTGGGCAATGTTTTAAGCACTGACAACCCTTTGAGCCCAAGCCCGTTCTGTCCACTTAACCAAGCTAAGTGTTCCTCCATTTCACTCTAGGACAACCACTTCTGCATTATTTGTTGCAATAGAAAAGTCAGTCTGTGTTTCTGTTTTTCTTGGTGAAAAGAATGTAAAAAAGACATCACGCTAATTTCCAAATTATAAAAATGTTGTGTATGAAACAGTTCTAATTCCCAGGAAAATTGTTCTGTTGAATATGAACTTCTTTTGCCATGTGGTCTCTGTGCAGCCCCTTCTTATCTCCAAAACTAATAGGGTGACCTTGAACCCCTGATGCTCCTTTCTCTGCCTTCCAAGTGATGGAATGGTCATGTTTGTCCACATAGCTGACTATGGAATGCCCTTGTTTTAAAATTTTGACAAATGATTAATGCAAATGCTTTTGCCATTATTATTAGTAGTAGTATCGATTCCCGCCAGGTGTGACGGCACATGTCACTTTGGAAGGCTGAAATACAAGGATCCTGTGATTCCAGGAGTTTGGAGTAGCCTGGGCAATACAATGAGATTGCCTCTGTGTGTGTGTGTGTGTGTGTGTGTGTGTGTGTGTGTGTGTGTGCTTGTGCTGTATACTGGCTTTCTTTTTTCCAATTTTTTTTTATAACTTCTTTATTGACTCATTGGGAGTTTCACATCACAGACCCTAATTCTGTTCACCTCCCGGTTCACCCATCCTCCCTTCCCCTCCTTCATACATGCCACCCTTCCGCAATAAGAAAAAAAAATCAAAGTAAGAAGGCAAGAGAATAAAAGCAAAAATAAAAATCAAAAACAAAACAAAAAGAAAAAACACAACAACAGAAAAATCTCTTTGCTGCTCCTTCTTTCCTGCTTCCCAACACCTCTTCATTTGTCGTGGGGGCAATGGAGGCTTCAGTGTGTCATACTGTATACATCTTTTTCCCATCAGTTTTATTGGCAAACATCTATTACAATGAATCACTGGTCTGGCTCAAGGTCTCTGGTTTCTGGTTCACCATCCTCACTGAGTCCTCACCGGAGCTCCTATAGGATATCCTGTGACTACCACGAGTCTTGGAGATCTTGAGGGTATCCTTCCACAGGACCAGTCCCTTCACCAGCTCCAGCAGGTCCTCCATGGGGTAGATGCCAGGATGGGTCAACCCAAGGCCTGGGTAGTAGCCAAGCTGATCAGACGGGGCCCCTGGGATCACCCACCTCGGGGGGGGGGGGCGGGTGGATGGAGTCAGTTCCCCTCCATGCATGCCCTCAGTCAGTTCTCCCTGGCCTGTGGTGAAGGGTGGGGGTCATCTCTCTTCCTGTAGCGTCCAGGGCAAGGCAAGGCCAGTATTCCCAGGGCCAGTGAAGTCCCTCTTAACAAGTTTTGCCTACTTTGCAAAAAAGAGCAGAAGAAACAACCTAGAATATGTGATTTGTGCAGCCTAATAGTTAAATTTGTGGAACATTCATTTATAAAAGGGAAATTTCCCCTCAATGAGCTTTGAATGGCTTCATTTGCTGTGTTGCTGGGACACAGTCCTGGGTTTTTGACAACACTCGTCTCCTAGGACCTCTGAGACTCTGTCCAAATGGTCACTGGGAATAGAGTTTCTCCTTCTTTCTGTGCAAACTGAGCCCCAGTGGCTCTTGGGCCCTTCTGCTCTGTCCTGACTCACTGTCCGCTCACTCAGAACTCCCAGGTCTTGCCAAATCACCAGTTACTTCAATCCAACTCCAGCATTTCAGCTGAGTGATTACAAAGACACCCCAGACGCGTTTTCTTTTCTCATGCAGTGTAGAAAAGATTATTAGAAAATCAAACACCTAAGTGGCCATTGGCAGAGTCCCCAAGAGCACCGTGGGCCCTAGACCGTTTGAGGGTTATACAATGTTTTCTAAAGTGGATGTGAACAACATAAACACACATCTAAAAAAAAAAAAAATCCTGTTTTCCCGCCACAGTGGAAAACATCTGTTTTGTTAATGGACTTGATCCTGCTCTCCAGAGTAATTTCCCAGATGTTCTGGGAGCTCCAAAGAACTGCATTCTTTCTGGTCTGCTCTGTTCTAGAAAGTTCATCTGCTGCAAAAACACATAGGCCTATGATAAAAACTGAAAACTAACGTTTATCATAGCTAAACATTTTAGACACGGCCTTGAATTAATGTATTCTAAGGTTTCTTTCTCTGACTCAGATATGCACACACACACACACACACACACACACACAGTCTTTGGGAAGGGAAGGTCATGTGAACAGGAAACAATGCCCAATCTTTTTGAGTATGAATGGTTGCTGCTAGTGAACTCCTTTGTCGTCCCTATCCATAGAGGCGTTTTCATTGACTGATACCACAGTGTACCCTGCTGGGCTGTGAGCATGCACACCATGGTGAACCCCACTAGGCTGTGAGCGTGCTCATGCCTGACTATTTCCCTTCAGGACTCCTAAACAGCATGGGCGACATTGCATATGCCTTTCCTCATCGGCGTCAACTCTTTGGCTTCTAGCACTCTTCCCTAGTTTCTCTCCCCATGTTTGTACTGTTGTTTCTGTGATTTCATAGTATCGTGATTTAGTCTCTGATCAACTGCCAAACAATATGGTCTTTCTTCATTCTGCCTCCCTCTACCCAGAGATTTTTCTGAGTATTATTCTAACAGGGCTTGTTTCTAAAACCTCTGTATTTTTGTTCCATTTGTGTTCTTATTTGCTGGTTTCTGGTGTTGGGCATCAAGCCTGGGTCCTCGTGTCTATCAGATACACATTCTGCTCCCTAGCTGTCTCCCAGACTACCTGTTTTCTCTTCAACAATGTTCCCAAACAGGCCACAGCCTCAGGTCCATTCTGATCCAGAAAAAAAAAAATGTGTTCAAAAGAGAAATTCCCAGTAGAACATAAAAAGTTTATTATACATTAAGGTTTTTTTTCTTCACAAACACCTTACAATTTGTTTACTTCTGTATTTCATGTGAGTTCCAAATGCCAAGAAGCAGGTGTTTTCCATGCTACAGTTGGTCATTTGTAATGAGCCCGTTTTTTTCCATTCATCTCCTAGAACATGGGTTACATTTGTTGACTACTGTGTTACCAGAGCCACAGGGTTTTCAACTTTCATTTCTTGAATAACAGTGGCCTGGGTTAGAGTTTACTGTGTCCGAAGGAATTTATATGTATAAACACATCAACTAAATGCGGGCTTCCTTTAGGTAATCCCACGACTCTCTGCAGTAGATCCTATTGTCTTCCCTTTGCACGGAGAAAACAGACTCTTAGGGAGGCAGAGAAACAATGTAGACAAGTT